AGCCACTCAAAGCACCAAGCACGCTCCAGGTAAGTCTTTCTGACTTTACTTGTTTTTTCCTTCTGAACATCATTAGCATGTAAATATCATAGTATTAATATTGTACATATCATTGCATGAACTGAAAAATTATGGATCAAAATTTCTAGAATAATGCTAGACTCAGACTTAGGATTAGAACTTCTATGAACTTCTATGTGTTCTTATAAAGACGAGAATCATCACAAAGACACATTTTCAAAATCACTTTCAAAAACACCTCTCACAAACACCTCTTTGAACTATTTTCGAAACAAATACTTTGTATGCGTTCTTATAGAGACGAGAACCATTACGAAGTTCGATTTTCAAAAACCACACACAAAGCACAATTTCAAACAAAAGCAAGTGATCTAGCAAGTAACTAAGAGCCCATGGAAAACCATGGATGAAAAAGGTGCTAATACCTTCCCTTTTTATAATCTACCCCCCGAACTCAAGAAACAATCTCAAAGGTCTTTTCTGTGCTTTTTCACCTTTCCTTTTGGATAAAAGAAAAGTCGATGGCGACTCTTGCTAACCGCAACATTTGCAAACACAAACGCAAACCCTCAAGTCAGTTCTCCCACCGTATCACACTTTGCTTAAGTGTATTTTGAAGATATTTTAAAAAGACGCCTTAGTGCGGCGAACTTTATAATGTTTCTCGTTTCAGCGAGAACGTATACAAAGTGTTTTTTGTCTTTTAAAATATTTAGAAAAGAGTTTGTGTATGTGGGAAAAAATTGTTTTGTTTTTGTGAGCAAGCAACTATGAATTGTCTACCTACTCGAACAGTCTTTGTTCTTTTCCTCTTTTCTTTTAGATAGTACTACCCTACTATTAGTCAGTAAGTAGCCCTGTCGTTGGATGTTTTGAGGGACATGCGCAAGCCATCGTGCAATCATAAAGGCAACTCGTAGGACACTATAGCAATTTTATTGTAAGGGACTAGATCGTTTATCGAACGCAGCATCAGAGGGTCATTGAGGGACTACGGTTTTTTTAACCGAGGGTCTTCGCTAAAGTGTCCCACGTTCGAGGGACATGACTATTTTTTGAAGGCAACAAGTGGAGGTACCTTAAAGGTGTGCGTGTGCGAGTGTGTTGTGTTTCAGATATTTATCTTTAAACATTTAGGTTTTTTCTATCGTTTGCTTTTAGTTTTTTCATGCAAGACTATTAGCATTCATCTAACAGTTAAATATATGTACAGAAAATAAAATGTGAGAATTTGAATCTACGCTATTACATGGCTTCGGGATGAGAGAATTACAAACCAAAATGGGGAATAAAAAATGAAAAAAGTTCTAAGTTAAGCTATTACAACCCATATGCAAATACATAATATTTGTAAAAATAATAATGCAGATAAATAAATAAACGCACAGAGGGGAAGAAGCCCTAAATAATTCTAAGTGACAAAAAGAAAGAAATATTTTTAGTTATTTTGTATTTTTTGATTAAGAAATTTATTTAAATTAAATAAGAAAACCCTAATTCTAACTAGATTTTAATTCACAAAATAAATTCAAAATGATTAAATTAATTAATTTTATTGTAAAAATAAAGTTTAATTAATTAAATCCTAAATCGAATTTTTATTTGATTTTATGATTATTATAAAAAAAATAAACTGATTAAAAAAGGAAATGTTAATTAAAAAAACAAATAAAGCAAATTAAAAAAAATCTGGGGGGTGAGAATCAGTAAAGGTTAGGCTCAACGCCTTAGGCCCAAGCACTGTAACAAAAGCAATTGGGGGTGCAAGGAGACAACCAGATTTAGGCCCAAATCACTAAGCCCAAGACCTGCAAAAAAACACATTGAAACATAAACATTGCAAAACTTGGGACTCGAAGCCAGGCTCTAGGAGAGGAAGGCCTTGACGCGCGCTGCTTGCCACTGGATCACTCTTATTCATTTGTTGATATAATAACATAATAATATTATAATACTAAATCAATAAAAAATATTTCAATAAAAAAATGTGCGCCCTAATGGGGCTCTGTTATTTTGAATGAACGAATCAAAATGTTGGATTTTGACACGCAGACTTAGGGAGGGTCAAACCACCACATGCGGTGGTTGACATCCTTCTTCTCCGGCAAGCAAAAATTACGATTTGCAAAAACACGACAGGTTAATGAAAAAAAATACCATGGTCCCCCTGATTCGGGGGCTGCGAGTTTAGTGGCAACATCTGTTTGTCCTAAAACTCATAGTATTTCTCAGTTCGAAGCTCAACCGTTTTAGAGCCCTAACAATGGCATCCTGTAATTCTAACGTGGAACCTTCGATTTAAACACCCAAAATTGACATATGGATTCATATGAACACAAACACCCGTTAGCATGCCATGAAATATGATTAGAATTAGAGATTTGAAATTCACAACCTTACCAAACCGGCGTAGTCAGATGGGGACGATCTAGGCTGCTTCAAGTGTTGAGAAGGACAGGGATAAGTCCTGGGAGTCTCAGGAACGTGAACATATGATTGGTTTCGATGGAGGAAGGCTGAAATTTGGGTTTTAAACTTTTGGCAACTTTGAACAATTTTGTGAAATTTTGTAAATCTTCCCTAGGAAATGTTTTCGTGTCCCTTTAGCTTGAGTTGTTGTTCTTTATATAGAGGGAGGAAGGAGGTACACAACATAGATTTGAGAAAGAAAATACCTTAAAAATAGCCGACGAAAGCAAGAATTTATCAGGAGGTTGAACTTTGAAGAGTCGGAGTCGGAGTCGAAGGGAGTAGAGTTGTGAAGTTCGAAGTCAGATTCGGAGGGAGTAGAGTTGCGAAGTTGAAGTCAGAGTCGGAGTCAGAGGGAGTGGAGTTGTAAAGTTCGAAAGCTGACGGAGTCAGTGAACTGGTGAACGAAGGGAGTCAGAGAGAGTTCGAAAGCTGAGAGCTGGTCGGCGACGAAGCGAATGTCCAGCGAATAAAGGGTTTTTGATGGGTGAAGAGAAGGTTTTAGGGTTTCAATGAAAGAGATGAACGAGTGAGAGAGACGAACGCTTCTTGGAATTTTTTATTTCGTTTTGTTTTAATTTTTTTGACTAAATAAATTAACATAATTTTTTTAATTTTAATTTTAATTATTTTTACTGTAGCACATTAGCAGCGCTTTGTAAAGTTTGGCCTTTAGCAGCGCTTTTCAGAAGCGCTTTCTAAAATCAGCCTTTAGCAGCGTTTTTTTCTTCAACATTTTAATTTTTTTTTAACTTATAGCAACGCTTTCTAAAGTTTCGCTTTTAACAGCGCTTTTCAGAAGCGCTTTCTAAAGCCAGCCTTTAGCAACGCATTTTCTCAACGTTTTAATTTTTTTTTGAACTCATAGCAGCACTTTGGGAAAAATGTGCTTGCTATGGTGCTACCTTTAGCAGCACTTTTCTGAAGCGCTTTTTAAAGTCAGCCTTTACCAACGCTTTTTCTCAGCAATTTAGTTTTTTTTTGAACTTATAGCAGCGCTTTGGGAAAAAGCGTTGTCTATGGTGTGCTGCCTTAAACCAATCATTGCGTAGTGAAATAGGACCAATGTCATTGTATACGATTACACCAATGAAATAATACAAAATCATTTTATCTTTCTCTCTTCTCATTATTCTTTATTTCTCTTTATTTTATAACAATACTAATTATTTCTCATTTTAAAATGTGAAATAATACTATTACTTACTCATCTTAAAATACATTTACTTTTTAGTTGAAATATTGACTAATTAGTTTTTTAAAGTAACTAGTAAGAAACTCGTGCGACATTACACGTCTCCCACTCTCATTTGTCAAGATTGAATTTATTTTTCAATTGATTAACATTCACATAGTTACAAATATAAGCTAAAAATATGTACCGACTTTTAAGCATTGATCGATACTTATAATAAACCGTACAGACGATTCTCTAACTTCAATTATATAAAACAACGACAAAAGAAAGATTTAAAAGATAGACATTAAAATGAACAGCCTACAATTGATATCTCATAGATATTTTCACATATACCCGTGAATCTACGTCTGCAAGGACCTTCATTACGATGAACAATCTACACCAGCTAAATTGAGAAAAAAATGAGAAATAAAAACAACTCTTAGATTAATACATTTGACCAAGAGAACATTAAGTCTCTAATGTTAGTTAGATTTTATTAAAAAGATTCTACCATTTAGTGAAAAATAAATTTAGTAGTGAACTAATATAAATCAGCAGCAAAAGAATGAATTAAAAGATGGACATTAAAATAAATCGTCTATAGTTGATATTTCATAGATACGTTCACATCTATCTGTGAATCTATGTACGCAAGGACCTTCATTACGATGAACAATCTACAATTGTTAAATTGAGAAATAAAATGAGAAATAAATATATCTCTTAGATTAATATATTTGACCAAGAGAATATTAATAATTTATAATTGATATTCTTCTTCCTTTCCTTCAACTTTTCTTTCACTTTCACTCTTACCAAACAACTCACTAATCATTTCACTTTCTATTTATTTTCAATTCAATTTCCTTCCTTCAATTTTCATTCCTTCTACTTTCTCTCCTTATAACTTAAAACCCTAGTTTAACGAATAGGGACCCTCTTCCTTTCAATTTCTAATGAAAAATGATCCTAACCGCAATTAAATTTGTGTAGCCACCTTATTAACAACTACACTGCACTTTAATAATTAGCAACCCTTTAGTTCCCTAACCCTTTAGGAGGAAAGTTATCCTAATCAAATTATGATCTTGTTACTCGAAAATACAAAGGTCTCTTCGCATAACCTCTATTCATTAACAACGTCTTACGTTTCCGAGACTCAAATATTAATTACAAGAATTACAATTAATAGAAGAAAAAAAAGCAAGAGTTAAATGAATTTTGAAATCCCATTATATGTACCTATATATATGAGTGCTCTACATGGCTTTCTACAGTAAACATATCAGTCCAAACCTTTCAGTTCTAGTAGTTACTATCAATTACCATGTCAGCTACTACTGGTGCTACTACTCAAACAGAAGAACACGTTTCCTTGAAGCTTCTGTTTAATGAAAAGGGTAACAAAGTCCTGTTTGCTGAATCTGGGAAGGACTTTGTAGACATTCTATGTAGCTTCTTAACAATGCCTTTAGGAACAATCGCAAGACTTGTAGAGAAGCAATCAAGCATAGGGCCAGTCACTCTTGGCTGTCTTAACTCACTCTATCAAAGTGGCTGATCTTGATGTAAATTGTTTCAGTAATGATACAATCAAACAAATGCTGTTGCAACCAATTAACTCAGCGGAAGATTATTGCAGCACTCTTAAACTCAACATCGACGACACTCCACCAACCAGATACATGGTATGTTTGAATCGTAAATGCAACAATTCTCGTGATATGCCACTATCAACATACAAAGATAACAATAATTGTCCATGTGGAAGTTCTCGATTATGATAAGTAATTTACCCTAGATATTTGATATAGGTATTTGATTTGCTAAAATCTTCTTTGCTCTCCATGTCTACTTTGACGGATTTGTTTTTAGAGAAAAAGCCATCCATTGGAGATTCCTGTTTCTTGTCGTCTGATGTTGGAATGAGTGGCGATCTCTAAATCACTTTGAAACTGTTTATAAGAAAATCTGATGGAAAAATCTTGTGTGCTGAATGTGAACAAGGTTTTGTGAATTTACTTTTAAGCTTTCTTACTTTTCCTTTGGGAGGAATTGCACGTATATTTGGTGAGAATTGTTCGTTGGGAAGTATTACTCGATTGTACAAGAGCATGTCTGAATTAAATGAAAAGAGTTACTTCATATCAAAACAAGCTAAGAAAAGGCTTATTGATCCTTGCATTTTGCCATACTTAGAAATAAGTGAACCAGTATGACCAATTTTTGAGTCTGGAATTCTTGATTATTATTGCCATAATGGTGTTACTTCTGATGATTTGGTCATATCACCATTGTCTCCAATATCTGCATTAGGTTCACATGACCGATTCAAAACTCCACTTGATGATGTGAAGGAACAGATTGTTACCATTGGTGTCAAGGAAGTAAGAAACGGTTATACTTGCTAGAAAATTTTGTTGTCTTTAGTTTTTAAAGCATTTATGATTGTTTACTTGGAGACTACTATGTTAAACTGGTTTATATTTTCATTGTTGTTTTTTTGCAGTGTCTCAACATATTGAAAGCTACTTTAACATCAACATCTGCCCTTACAAATGGTTTGGCACACCTTTTAACAGGAATCAAGGAGGAGAAATGAGAACTCACAGTTTGTGGTGATTCAACTTGCAAGGTTCTGAGAGAAAAGTTTATATGGAAAACAATGCATGATTTTTTATTTGGATTTTAGCACTGTGTTTTTGTGATCTTTAATGCATACTTTCTCACTTTAACGTTATTTATATTTTTCCTTTACGTGCAGTTTTTAATATTATCGTCGTTGTTTTTGTTGACACTACTAGAAAATATTCTCTCTATATATCTCTTTCAGTATTATGAGAACAATAGATTTTTCTATTGGTAGGATACACACTCGTTCATAAACCCTATAGCTCTCTACTTTTATGGAAATAAAAATTAAAATACAAGCTTTGATACTGACATAAGTATTTTATAATTAATCGTGGACTTGTGAATAGTATGTGCGAATAAAAACACAACTCACATGAGAGTCCCTAAATAAACAGTTTCAAAACCCTTTTAGTTCCTTTTTGTCTTTGCTTCTATCTGTGCTTGTTCTTCCTTTAGCTTCAATCAACCATCATGTAAGTACCCCGAAGGCTTTTGTGGTATCTATTCTTATTCTTGTTTTTTTAAATGAATTGTAAAAGGGTAAATTTATTGATAGAGGTCGATGTTTATTTAAATTATACAATATCTTTATAGTCAACTGTAGCCCAAATGTAAAACATATAAAGTTATCTTTTGATTTAAAGGCTGTATGTTGTATTCGACTTTATCGATTATAACTTATTCTATGACTACTTCTATTTTGTTATACAATCTTGTCAAACACAAACTACTTAATAAATGCAATGAATTACATCTTCTAACATACTTTCTAATTTATGTTTTTAAGACTTCTCATTCTGATGTTTCTTTTTAGCTAATTAAATCAGACTTTCTTCTTCGAAGGCTTGGTGAGTATATCAGCTAGTTGCATTGCAGTTTTGACTTGCAACGTTTAGGTTTAAGCTTTCTTTTGTTTACTTGATCCCTAAGAAAATAATACCTCATTTCTATGTGTTTACTTAGACCATGACACATGATGATTTGATAGGCCGATAGCCGACTTGTTATCTACAAACAATTTCATTTTCTTTGGTTTCATGATCTTGAACTCTTCTATCAAAATCTCTATCCATACTGCTTAACATGCTGCATACGATCACTACTACAAATAAAGGAAAAGACATCGCTTTTTTTAGCATAGACCGTGCTTAAAAGCGTTGGCTATAATGCCGGTGCTATAGGTAAAGACAACGCTTTGTTTAAATGCAAAAAAAAATGTTGCCTTATGTCTCGTTTAGGCTGCGCTTCGTTTGAAAGTGTTTTCTATTGTCACCCTTAGGCAACACAAACTTTTAATTCAACACATAAACCTTATAACCATTATAATTCAACACATAAACCTTATAACAATTATAATTCAACACAGACCTTATACATCAAGAAAATAATGTTTTTATCAAAACTTGTAAGGTATATACCATTAATAATTAATTTTCTTCAAAATTAAAACAAAAATATCTAAGGGCCATAAACTTCACACAAAAGAAAGAAAGACAATACCTTATATAATTCTCATCTCAAGAATGTATTGACAACAATCCTTATTAATTTCTTCTAGTTTATCTTTCGAGTAAAATTATATATATTAAATATTAAACTAAATTCTAAGTTAATAAATCCATACCATATTTGGAATCTATATTTATTCCAAAATAATAATTTCTTTCATAAAGCTCAATATGAAATAAACGCAATCGATACCATTAAGCTGATGACGATACTACATTTAAAAATATAAATATATATCAGGATATATAGTTTAACTTGTTTTATCAAGTAGCATCACTATTATAATCAAAGTTTTGAAAATATACCTGCACTCGGATCCATGTAATATTGTTTGTTTTACTCTTTCGTACTCGAACTTGTCTTTGTGATCAGAATATTTGTATATCTCTAACAAAATATAAACGAATATTTAGAATAATCTCACATAAATAAATATACACATGAATATTTAGAACAATCTCACTTACGTATCAACCAACTTCTTTATAGTTGGGTGTTTTGTTTTATCACCAACTAACAAATTCAGATAATATACTATTTCTTTTATAGGATTAATCGCAACCAATAACCAGTGTTCACTGTAAAATAAAACAAATGTTTAGATGGAAATTTTCTACACAACATCCAAAAATGAAAAATTATAATAAGTGAAGTTAGAATGAAAATCTAACCCATGGCCAGTATTATATGATAAAAGAAACAATTTTTATGTATCTTTGTTGGCCATAAATACACTGACTAAGTACTCTTTTTGTCAATTGACGCGGGATCTGAATTAAGTTTTGAATAAATATGATCCTTAAACCATGGTATAAAACTTTGATGTGCTCTCGTACTGTTCAATTTTCATTTCTATTTGGATTTAAACCTCATAGTACATCCTTGTACATTTCAACATACGACTAAACCTCATTGTCATTGTGAAGAACATACAAATGCACTTGCTCCCATTCAGACTTTGATACTGTCATAATTTTATTTCGAATTAACACTTTTTCTTCTTTTTTTTTTCTCCCGATAATATGAGATTTGGGGAGTCCAATAGATTTAACATTAAACAAATATTCAGTATAAAACTCAATCGCTTCTTCAACAATGTATCGTTCAAAAATACAAACCTCTGGTCAACTTCAATTTTTCACACATCTTTTTAATATTTTCATATAATATTCAACAGGGTACAACCATTTCATATAAGCTGATCCACACAATTGTGTCTCTTTCACAAGAGGAACAACTAGATGTACCATTATGTCAAAAATGAGGGAGGAAAATATATTTCAAGCTCACACAAAGTAATAACTATTTCTTTTTGTAATATCGGTAAGATCTCAGGATCGATCACCTTACTACAAATTGACTTGAAGAAAAAACACAATTTAGTTATGGCGTTTCTTACTTTTTCTGGAAAAATAGAACATATACTTATTGGTAGAAAATATTTCATTATAACATGGAAATCATGTGTCTTTAAACTCTTTAACTTGAGGTCTTTCATAGACACAAGTCTTCTTCTAATGTCTGAAGAGTATCCTTCTGGAACTTTAACTTCACTTAGAAAGTTACACAATATTTTTTCTCCTTTCTAGATAGAGTATAAGCAGCAGGTGGTAGATATGTTCATTTTCCTTTCTTCAAGGATCCTAATTCGGTTCTTATTCCCATCTCTATCAAGTCATTTCTTGCTTTAAGGTCATCCTTAGACTTTCCTTATATATTGAGTAACGTCCAATAACATTTTCAAATACATTTTTTTCAATATGCATAACATCAATAAAATGTCTTCCATACAACGACTTCCAATATGACAATTCAAAAAAAATTGAACTCTTCTTCGACCCATGTTTGACAAGCGTATGTGCAAAAGGCTTGCCAAACTGAGTACTCAAATCTTTCACCTTTTAAAAAATTTGATCGCCTGTCAATGTAGGTGGAGCTCGACATTGTTCTGGATTTCCATTAAATGCTTTTCTGCACCCACAATGGTGATGATTAGAATTTAATAATTTACGATGACCGAGAAAGAAATTCTTCTAGTGAGAATTATTCCTTGGTAAGTATTATTCAATTGTACAAGAGCATGTCTGAATTAAATGAAAAGAGTTACTTCATATCAAAACAAGCTAAGAAAAGGCTTATTGATCCTTGCATTTTGCCATACTTAGAAATAAGTGAACCGCTATTACCAATTTTTGAGTCTGGAATTCTTGATTATTATTGCCATAATAGTGTTAGTGTTATTCGCTTTCAATATTCCAAAGACATTGAAGGTAGAAGTTATGTGAAAAATTTGTTGAAAACGAATTTATCTAAAATGGTATGTCCTGAAGGTTATGTAAAGGGTCCAGCTATGTATGTTGCTTCCGATGATTTAGTCATATCACCATTGTCTTCAATATCTGCATTAGGTTTACATGACCGATTCAAACCTCCACTTGATGATGCGAAGGAACAGATTGTTACCATTGGTGTCAAGGAAGTAAGAAACGATTATACTTGCTAAAAAATTTTGTTGTCTTTTTAGTTTTTAAAGCTTTTTACAAAAAAAAAACAATTTGGATTTTGACGTAAGCCCCGTTCTGTGCTCCACACGTGTCTCAGCCAAACCAGCCCAGCTTAAGGATTAACCGTTTCCAGGCCTGCATTTCTGCAGATGGGGCCCGTGGACTTTCCTGAACCCAGCCAGAGCGTGGATCCATTCACATCGTCTCAATCCTGATATACAATACTGCAATCTCGCCTAATATAAACCTAAAACAATAGTTGATATTAACGATGTGGGACTCTATTAACCACCTATTCAACAATTTAAACACTATTTCCACTTAGCTAAAAGAAAAACCCGAAACTAACAGGAAACTAATTAGACACACCAAATGCCTTCATTAACATACCTTAAATTTCAACATCCATAATAAATAAGCATATTAGTTCCATCTGAGAAGCATCATGGCAGAGGGATTTCTTAGGCAGGAACCCATATCAGCCTCACAGGTGTATGTTATTTACTTAAAACTACAAGACTATACTAATCTAAAACTAAATTACTTTAGACACAACAACCGTTTCAGTTTGTTTGGGTGCTTAGTTTGCACGCTCCTGGAGGACTTCGAGTTCCATCTCTGTTGGGTCTGTTGCTTGAATCTCGTAATGGATTCCCTTTTAAACATATATTGAGGCCATATACTTATTGATGCAAGACTCTTCAACAATATCTAATGAAACTTGCACATACCATTTGCTGCTATTAGCATACATATTAATAGATTATACAAAGAAGCCAGGTTCTGAAATACATGTGACAATTCAGATTTAGGATTTATGAGGGCACTTGATTTAAGATTCTAAGGTGGGCCTTAACAAGAGGAACATGAATACATTAATTATGCTGTGACAGTGAATAAGAGGAACAAACCTAGTTAGAATACTAGAGAATTGTATCATTGCATAGAATTCACA